TATGGTTTTTGTGATCATTTTTAATTCGCATAATATAAAACACGCAGAAATTATGTCATTAACAAAAAACAGTATTTTCACAAAAATCTTGTGTCTAACTTACGTAAAATATACTTAACTTTTTCGCAAAATTTTCAACACGAAAAAAAACGATATAGGAATATCCTATGCAAAATTAAAAAAGTAAAATTTAAAAAGATGACATAGGCTTAAATTCAATTTAAAAAGTCTCAAGACAATTTGTTTAAAAAAAAATTAAAAGGCTTTTATATTTTATATATATTTTTATATTTTATATATATTGAGCCAATTGTTAGAAACAAAAACACGCAATAGAAATCATTATCTATAAAGATATTTCAAATCTCTCTCTTAGGTCTTCCAACAGTCTATTGGAATTCCCATGGATACTAATTGCGCCCCGTTATTAGCAGACCTATTTTTGTATTCATATGAAGCAGAACCAAAATCTTGACGTAAAAGAGAAACACGTGCTATGGCCTTCAACTCGACATTTAGATATATCAACGTCATACTGTCAGTTAACAATATTTATTTCGATTCTTATGTCGATACGATATATCCTGGTGAGTTTGAGATGAAAGATAGAGTCTGATACATCTGTTTCATATTTGGATATTTTACTTAAAAAAGTCGTAAATGGTAATCTGACAGCCAAGCTTTTCAATCGTCAAATTCCCTTACTTATGCATCAATATACCTTCATCACCTGCATACGGAGATTATATATCTCAGTTGATTCGATACAAAAGAGCATGCTCTACGTATGAACACTTTCTAAAACGAGGTAAATTATTGACGAACAAGTTGATGAAACAAGAATATCAGCAGTCTCGTTTAAAGTCATCATTTCGTAAGTTCTATGGTCTATACAATGACCTTATCAATAAATACAATTTATCATTGAGTCAAATGCTGAATGACGTTTTTCATACTAATTGTAAGTCCATTATTTACACACTGAATTGACGACGGATTTTCCCGTTATTTCCCGATCATGACAAGGAGCACACGGCGGTTGTGACCGGTCAGCAGGGGATGCTCACTTCTCGAGGGTACTTGATCTCACGTCTGATGTTTTATTAGCTCTGCTCCTACATGTATTTTGAATTGTTGAATGAATAGACTTTTGAGCTTGAATACTGTTCGTAATCTCCATATAATCTCCATACATTTCCCTCAAACTTACGTGCGTTAACGTTGCTTTTCTCACAAACACATATTCCACCGTAGCAACGACCGATAAAGGAGGGATCGCATACGCTGGTGCAATCTCTCTCTCAAGAGCAGCTCATAGATCAATGATACATTTTGCATTATCATCTTATAAACACCCGGTAGCATGCATTTGTCATAAAGGAATGCCTTTTTTTTTTTACTAATCATAGTTTTTTAAATAATACAATGATGTTAATTTATTTTCTATAATTTATTTACTTATAAAAGACAAATGATTTGAATGTTATCACCTGTAAAGCTTGGTTCATGGCACTATTGTCTTTTATTTTGAATACTACAAATTAAGTTCTGTTGAAAAGCCTTCGGTATATTACCTTTGTCACTAAGGGTGACCAGTAGTAATAACCTATCCACTCCTTTCTCCATGTGTACATCAATATGGTATGTGTCCCACAATTCGTTCTTTTTGTGTAATAAGTATCTCTAGAAATTTTAAATCACAGTTTCTAAGGAAGAAATTCTTCAAATCATATGCCAATGTTTAATATTTTTAATATTCACCACAATCAAATTAAATTTGAGTTACAATACCTATACTGGATTTCTAAACAAAAATCCTTTTCTTTATTCTTCATTAAAATATTAACAGCAGTAAAGGAAAAATTTATAACCTCTGTTCATAATATAGATGTGGAAACTTAGAAACTCCAAGAAACTTTTAGAAAAATTGAAATTGCAAACTTTTGCTAAAATCTACAGCATTAAAACCCACAAGCTTCCAACACTATATATATGCAACCAAATTAAATGCTATACATTTTTTTAATTGACACAAATGGTAGCTGCTTTTTCAATGAAATGAATTCCCATGGTACCTGATCCCACCCCCGATGTTTTGGAGGTCTGTGTTTGCTCTGCTGCGATTTTGTTTTGTTTTTATGGACTTTTGATCTTTATCTTCATATGTTTCATTTCGTAAATTTACATTCCTTGTCATTTGTCATCTGTTACAAAATTTATTAAAAAGATGTTGATCTTCAAACATCTTGAGTTTCTGATTGTCAATGTCTTTGTAATGATTGAAGATGTCTTTCAACAATCAATTGGAACTTACTATAATTGCACGTTGTTATTAACAGAGATGTATTATATTCATATGAAGTATTTTTTTCCCAAAAAAACTCCTACAAAAAAGAATATATTTAAAGAATTAAAACGTAAAAAGTCAAAATGCAAACCATCCAATCGGAAATATATTTAACACACTACTAATAAAACATTAACAAACTACCAACAAACTATATTTTCGTGTTCAAAAAGACCTTATTTTTTGTATATCTTTATATATATATATATATATATATATATATATATATATATATATATATATATATATATATATATATATATATATATATTTTTTTTTATTTTTTTTTTTTTGGCTCAAGTTATTTTATTTTATTTTTTTTTTTGATCATTACTATTTTTATTTTTAATATGAAAAGTATATAATGTAAACGTATCCCACTAACTCGGCCAGTTATATATTTATTTTTTCAGCGACTGCTTTTATGTCCAGTTTGGCTTGGATAATGTGTTTGTAACTGCCGTAACTTGCAACATAGCAGCTTCAAGTGATTCGATAGAAATGGTAATCCGAGTGTTTTTTTATTGGTAGTGTGTGATTGGTATGGCTACACTCACCTCACCAAATATATTGCATTCCTGTAAACATTTGCTGCAGCAAAAGTTGCTGTAAACTGGCATACTTTAATGCAAGCTTGCTGCTATGAAGCTTAGAACCCATGACAGCCTATACAAAGCCTTAGTGTTTGCAGCAAGTATGCAGTAAGTTTGCAGTAAACATTTTACCCTGTAAATGGGGTCTGCTGCAAGTCAAACATTGGATTTTCCAAATACAATGTATGTACCTTTCCCTTGGTCCTATCTGGATGATTTTCAAACTAAACAATAACAAACCAGAACAGAGAATCACCTATAATCAACTTTATGATGCCAATACAAATCTATGAAGTAAATATCATAATTGTAGCTGCAGACTGAGTTGTATAATTAACAATAAAGTTGTTTCCCGACACAGTCTGTAACTAACTCAATGCGTCCACAAAAGTCAAAAAGACACTCTTAATTATTAGTTTACCAAATAACATTATTATTAGTCTGGTCCTAGAAATAACTTCTAACGGCAAATAATTATTATTTGACCCGGTCATTAGCATAATGCTTTTTAATGAACCTAATTCGAGTAAGCTGAATGCATAAAATAAATAATTATTCGAAAAAATTTTTTATGCTGGCCTTCATGAAAATGGCGTTAAAGAGGTCAAAATGGCGATTCAAATGGCGGATATCCAATTTTTCTAATTTTCTCTTAATGTCGTTCAGAATGGAGAAATGATGACTGAATATCTCACTGAGTGTAATACAACTATGAAAATGATAATAGAATGCTAACATTATTAGTTTAACTTAGAAAATTTAGTCGTTTCTACACTTAATTCGAATTTTCTCTGATTTTTTGTCTATTGTTTCTATTATCTTCTTTGTTCAGGATTTTACATTTGCAAATATCTATACACTGTAGATTTGTATTTTTTCTTGTTCATTTCACTATTATACAACTGAGTGATGATGCAGCTGTAAGTTAAAAGTCAAAATGGCGATTCAAAATGGCGGATATTCATTTCTCTTACTCATTTCAAAATATCGTTACAATTCAGTTCAATGGAATGTAGAAGCGGCTCTGTAAAGAGTTGAATTCTGTGTTAGATTTTGACTGTGTAGAGGAAAAGTAATCGTTAGTTATAACATTATAACAATGTATGTCGCTATCAACCAAATATTGTTTTAATCAACAAATCATGATGCAAAAATTTACACGACTTGCAGACGTCAATGTAAACAACTTCACAATACGGAGTGTAGCGAATCCCGATCCCGATCAAAAAAGAATTGATAACACGGTTAGAGATTCATACTTTTCAATATATATCGGTATAATACATTTAAGTACCCCTTTCACAAAGACACTAGTCACCGGAATACTAACTTGACTAAGGAATAACATTCCTGAGCTGAGTGGTGTATCAATTCTCTTGTTTCTCGTCACAGCCCAAGAACCTAGCCAAAATAGTGAAACTAAAGCGATAAGCAACAATCAAGTCGAAGCAAATTAGACTAGGCGGGTATCTTTATTTATACTTTTTATCATATGTCTAATAACTACTGATTGGTTAATAAGTGGTAAGCTTTGATTTTCTGTCATATAAACGTTGACTAAATATGCAATGATTTGATTGGATGATTTCATTTCACTTGCATGAATCTCTTCATGGCTTTCTATACCGAGTTTCTTTTTGGAAGAATTTCTTTATGTGCGTGGTAGCCATACTTCAGTTTACCCCATGTTTACCCCTTTATCCCGTGGATATAGCTCATGTGATATCATTTTCATATCCCGCAGTTATGACGTCAGTATGGTTTGTGCGTTAGCGTGATGAGGTAAAATAAAATGGAGTCCTATATAAAAACAGTGTAAAACATCGTTTGTGAAGTATTAAACATGGGATAAAAAGAATCTCCCATGATTTGTAGTTGAATATGATTTTTATCCAACTCTTTGTGTGTTTTTATACCTTCGCCAAGACTCGGGGATAAAAATCACACAACGAGTTGGATAAAAATCATATCCAACTCCAAATCATGGGATTTGCTATATATAAAAAATATATCATTTGATTATTTCAAATATCTTTTTCTACGAGGTTTTAATGATTCACTGTAAGATTTTAGGTTTATTTAGAATCGAGTACATCTGCACATATTGTCGATACAATGTCGTCTGTTGGCTGGGCAGTCCCAGGTAGTCAAGTCCAGGCAGTCCTGAAGAGTGGTGCATTCTGTAATACAAGGAGGGTTATTTTAATGCATTTCATACATCAAGGATTTTCTATGATGCAAAATAGCTAATTCTTTCCAATGGTGGAAGTGCTGATATATAAGCAAAGGTTCTGCATAACAGTCCTCTCCGCATTTGAGAAATTTGGTGCATTGCGTATATGCATACATGTATTTACTGGTCTCTAAGGGAAAATTGACACTTCGGATGATATTGTTTGGGTTCGAAGTCTTAGAATACTACACTTTTCAAATCATATTATGGTATTTGCCTAAATAATTTACAACTAAAAAGTTTTGTTTATTAAAAATTCAATGATATGTATACTCTAAAACTGAATTCCCAAATTGCACGTGATTATTATACATTTGAAGCTATTAAGCATTGCACGCTTTATTCGCCTCTTATAAAGGAATAGTACATGTAATTGTCATTTCTCTCAGCGAGAGAGATATCTCTCTCCCCTTATCAAAGGTTAAATGAACTTTTTACCTTTAAAATAAAATTCTAGCATTTTTGTGGGGCTTCTTTTGGATGTATTTGTTAAAAGTTAACATAAAGTTGCCGTAGTCATATGTCCATATTCCAGATTTATTTTCCATTAGTATTAACTTATTCAAGCTCTCGTTAGATTATTAGTTTAGATTTGACATATTAAATCTTTTAGTTTTGATGAAACTCGCTGAAATCTTTATTGTTATTTTTATTACAGCCAAGGAGGATAATGGCAAAAGTAACGAAGATCAAGAACAATGATTGATTGATCGATTCGATGACGACTTAAGCCCAATTCGATAATTTTCACTCTCACAGAGTGAAATATATGGAGATAACGCTCAAAAGTCTATAAAACAATTCAAAATAGGTGCAGCGCAAACACTGACCTCCAAAACATTAAAGATGGGATCAGCTACCATGGAGGAGTGAGCATCCCCTGTCGACTGGTCAACCCGCCGTGTGCTCCTTGTCATAATCGAGAAATAACGGGAAAATCCATCGGTAATTCAGTGTGTAAATAATGGCCTAACAATGAATATCTAAAACATCTCTCAGCATTTGACTCAATGATAAATTGTATTTGCTGACAAGGTCACTGTATCGACCATAGAACTTACGAAATGATGATTTTAAACGAGACATATGTAGAGCATGCTCTTGTGTATCAATCAACCTGTATGTCATTTTACCTCGTTGTAGAAATTGTACAAATAATCACCACACTCAAATAAGGGTCCTCTAAGGGATACCGTATATATACCTGAATAAGCAACATCTAAACAGTTAAATGAGCCACAAGAGCTGAGCCCTCGTTGAAGGAACATTTGCTACCTAATTTTAACAAAGTTATTTTTTCATTTCAATAACTAGGTCTGGTAGGCGTATATGTTTAAGGGGTACGTATCAGGAAATATTTGGGCCCCCATTTTTCATTTTATGCTGCTTACTCATGTTGTTTGACTGAGTGCAGGTGCAGACAGCATCAACGCAGTGCATCTCCCAGCCATCTGTGCATGACGTGTGAGTACAGTCCGTAGCTGAGTTGGTGCAGGATTCGGACCAGGCATAACCTAAAAATGAAAATTCAACACCGATTCAAAATATTACTTTATAGATTTTTTTTTATTATGTAATTATTAATCCTTCTTTTAAAATATGCAGTTGAGGGGTAGGCAAAAAACAAAAAGAAGGGAATAAAATTAAGGTTAATTGTTTGAAAAAAAATTGTTTTCAGGTTCCTAATTTAAAAGCAATATTTTCATCACTTACCGATAAGGCAAAGGAGAACTACGACAAAGCACCTCATTTTCTGTGTGTCCTGGCTGATAATTGACAAGTAATGACCAGAAATGTCTTGAGAAATATTTATATTCGATTAGGGATTTGTTATCTATTCTTCGGCATGATTTTGTGTAGTGTGTCGTAAAAAAAATGTTTTATGGTTATATAAGTTTTGTCTTTTCTGGTCAATGACAGATCCAGATTTATCTACATTGCACTTGCATTCCTATAAATTTAACAGAACGATGTATTCGTAGCTCTTGTGAGTCAAATATTTGGGTGAACTTTCATACCCAAAATTATGACGCTCTTTATTACAAAATTTTTTTCTGTAACAATCAAAGTGTCAGAACAACCGAAAAAGCGAAGATGTTGAACAGTGATCAATCTAAAAAAAAACATTAAAGAAACCAAAAGGTGAAAGGGATAAAAGGAGGGTCCTCGAAAAATGCAGAGATGGGATTAATTAAGTTCAGAGGAGGATATATAATCTCAAAGTCCATAACTAAAAAGGCCATGAAATGCAAATGGAAAATGTAATCTAAACTGAGTTTATTTAATCATCATATTTTCTAAATACGAGGGGCGTTCAATAAATAATGTCATTAGTGTGTCAACATAGTATCATATGACATACAGCTTGACGTTCTCTCATTCTTTTTTAATGAATTATATAAGTTTTGTCTTTTCATCACATAGTTTTATCGTGAGAAGCTGGGAAACAAGGGCTATTCGAGACACTGCATTATAAATGAATGGTAAAGAATCAGTAAACTATGAAAATAAAAGCTACATTAAAGCAAAACTTGTTAAAAATCCTATTCAAATTTGACATTTACAGAACCGATGAATTTGTATGGACAAATTAGCTTGGATTTCAAAGATAAAAAGTTATATAATGGGTATCAAAAATGGGTACCCTCCTTGCCAACAAAAATTATAACAACTTATGTACTGTTTGCCAAATTTCAACAAATAATATTTGATGTTGTATGATTGACTTTAAGACACATAGCAAATTTGATAGACAGCATATCCGGAGTAGTTAACACTGTTTTTAGGAAATGTTTCTCTCACCCTGTATTTTGAAAAATAAAAACACAGCGTGTACAAAAGTCTTAACAATTATTTTAAAATATCAGTAATTGTAGTAATCCTAGTTTGTTTTATATTCAAACAGATATTGGAACATGAATCTATTGCTTAAAACCATTAACACAAAATTTAACATAAGATGTTCTTGATAAAAAAGGCGAAGGTCTGTCAAGAGCAAAGGTATGCAAGAGCACTAAAACAGATTTTTATGCAATTTCCTTAAATATTAGTGGTATAATTGTTCAAATTCGTATTCAGGGAGACAGTTTAATATATGGAGGTGTCTAGAAAGCAGTTTTTTTTGCAAGGAAATCAAAAGGTTTATCAGAGAAAGGACCCAGAATCAGGAATCCACTACACTGAATATCTTCACGACAGCGTTTAAACCCGCATGCCCTAAAGAGTAAAGGGGTTTACGGGATAAAAAGAAAGTTAGTTTTTTCACATTAACAATATTTACAAGATCTTTGACCTTTTGACTTTTTTCTATTTCCAAACTTGAAAAAAACACCTTTTGAAAGGAAAAAACAAGTCCAGGAAATTATTGTGCCATTTTCCAGTATACTAAAAAAAAAATGGCAATCAGAAATTGGATAAAAAATGTTACGGAATGTGTTTGAATCAAAAGAGATTAATAAGTAAAATCATGAAGACTAAATCATTGAATCATCATATTTTTTCTGAGCCCCAATATATTTATTGAACGCCCCTCGTATATAAAGAACCAAATGCTTAGAGACCAAACAACATTGCGATAGCTTCTTTTGGTTATATGTGAAGATGCCTTTTTAGGGTTCAGAAACCTCCTTTGTGACGTCACAACACCAACTGGTGGATTCACGTTTTCAGAAAAGGAAATTCACATTCTTTTGAACATAACGATATAACATAAATTTGTCTGTGGTAGAAGGATAGTTCCACCTTATAATTGTCATGATTTGAATGAGCTGTCTATATTGACATACCCCAGTAATCATTGTTGCACACAAGTAATCCGTTTTGAGATTCAATATACTCCCCTGTTGTGAATTATTTTTTATATACGATAATCAGAAATTGTTGAAGATTTTTTTCTTTACTGTATTTGAAACCTTTCGGAATCTATTATCTGCATTAAAATGTGCATTCGCCCTGCTTTGAATTTTTCAAAAGAAGTTATACCTAGCGTTAGCATCCAATTTAGTGTATCCTAAATTTTGAAACAAAACTAATAAATATATATGCCCTGTTTATAAGATATGAAGGTTGTTCTAGTAATCAGCAAGGAAGGTTCTAGTAATCAACAAGATGCAAAGAAACAAATGCAAAAGACAAGGTGTGAAGTATTAAATCCTCATATATTTTTGAACGATTATGAAAAATGTTTTTAGTCTGATCTCTAATTAAACTACAGATCATTGGCTCAAATCTCGAGGTCCTTTTAAGGAACAATTGTTTTCTAAGTGAGCATTCTTATATCCAAACTTATGGAAGACAGCATGGGCTTAGAAGTTTTTCAAACAAAGTTGAATGTCTTTTTTTAATCCTCAATAAAACGAAATATTGTAATTCGTGACCCCTTTATTTTCCTCGTGATTTGTTACGTATAATAAGCATGATTTATCTAACATTCACCTTGACGAAAATTGGAGTTATATATCTGGAATCTAAACTGACACCAGTGCAATTCACATCACAATTCGCGACAACATGAAAACTGTGTTAGTGTGCGCCATCGCTGTTTTTGCTGTGTTTCTTGGTATGTATTTTTCCAATTTATAGTTACCAATATTTTTAATTTTTGTGATTTTCTATTTAATTTTAGCTTGTCGAAAGCAAGAACACGACCCAACAGGATATAAATGAAGTGATCAATAAAAGGAAATTTAATATACAATAAAAATGATCTCCCGAAAATACGGAATAAACCTTGTATATTCTAGACCTATTATTTGATCCCATGTTTTTTCCATCTGTAACATTATTTACATAGAAACTAAACACACATCCCCTCATTTTCCCAGGGGACATGATATTGACTCTTAAAGAAATTACTATAATTCTCTAGTGATTTTAAAAATTCCAAAATTTCTTACCCCGGAAGAAAATAAAATCTGTCTGGGAATTCAAAAAATACCATTTCAGATGGTAACAATTCAGTACACAAGCAAGTGAACAATTCTGTGAAAAAAGTACATAATGTGCCATCATTTAAATTTTGAATTTACCGGATGACCTTTGTAAATTCAAAATTTACAACATGACCAATAATGAGTTTGAATATGATTAAAAAAAAAGGAATCCATTCTTACTTGGAAAAAGTTTCAATCGAAATTTTGTTGAAGAGTTTGAAAATAATTTATTTTCATAAAATTCTTATGTACCACATGTTCTTCAAGACAATAAATTGAAATAAGTAATAATTTACTTTAAAAAGTCGTTTTATGATTTTTTTTTGTATGTTTCATGAAGCAGAGTTGTTTCAGGACCGGTTTCTTCAGATCACCTGCTGTTAACTTTAGTTATTTAGTAAAAACATAAAAGAACTTAAATACAATATTACAATTGATTTTGATATGTTTATTGTTGTTCTGCAGGTCTCGTGTTTTCTGAGACGTGTACCACGAGTAGTGAATGTGTCTCCATTCAATGTGACAGCGTCACAACTGTCCAGTGTACCAATGGGACGTGTACTTGTGAACTCGTGGACGGATGTAAGAAAATGCAAATATCCCTCTGATTTATCTCTCCACCTTGTTAGGTCCCGTGTCGAAAAATGTAAAACACCTTCATCACGTTCTGCTCAGCTCTCTTAAAGTTTTTCTTTCTCACGAAGGCACTAAATATTGTTTATGTAAAGTGTCAGGAATTCAAGCTACATGCATAATCTTGTTCGCTTATTATCAATTTAAAATTGAAGCAATATTTAATTTGACTTCCAATTATTTCATCTGTCATTTCTTATTTGCAATTCCTGTTTTTGTTTCTTACAGATTGTGACTCGCGAGATGATTGCCTGAATATAGAGAATTGGTTCTGTCCAGCTGATTTCAGACACTGTATTGACCAGAGATGTCGCTGTCGTCCAATCTAAATACACATGTTTTATAAAGATATGTGACTTGATTTAATACAAAATGCGCTGTTGTAAGGCAAACAAAATGCTCACACACCGGTCGATTAACATGATTAAGGTCTGAAAACCTTGAAACTTCCATCTGGCAGGTACTTTTGCTAAATCTTCATTAGAAGGGTCAAAAGTGCATTTTTTATGAAATGGCCCATTACTCTTTCCAACACTGAAGAAAATTGACATCCTAAGTTAAACTAATCCTGTAATCTTATTGAATTAATCTGTAGTAGACTTTTTTCCATCTCTCTTCTCATGGATGGCATCTACCGGTGAATCTTCTGTTGAATCCAATCTTTGTTGACTTTTCTCTTGCGGACTCCTACTTTCTCCTTGCTGCTTGTGGTGATGTCTGTCCATGCTGTATCCATTCCGTTTCTCTACTGTAACTTTATCAAGTCTTTTAGAACCTGGAATATGTTCTTCAGTTAATGAACAAAAGAACACAACACTCTTTTGTCTTTGTTGTCTTTCAGTTACTGGATGTCAAATTACACCTGAGTGGATGATCTGGCCTTACTCATTTTTATCTTCACAAGTGCGATAGACGGGTGGTGTTGGCTTCCAACGTGATAGAGGGCGTCAACGAAATCTCACTTACATCTGTTATGGAATTAGATGATGAAATTTGATATTAATCAGAATTTCTTTGTATAAGTTTAACTCGAAGTGAAATATGGACATAACGAACATTATTCAAGCTCAAAGTCCATAAAACAATACAAATCGTGAGCAGAATAAACATAAGCATCAAAGGCGGGAACGGATGCAATGGAGGAGTAAGCATCTTCTGCCAACCATCACACCCACCGTATGCTCCTTGTCATGAGCTAGTAAACGATGAAAAAACGTTCAAATTTCAGTGTGTAAAAAACGTCCTGGCAATTCGTGTGAAGACTATCAGTCAGCATTTGACCTAATATTAGATTGTATTTGCTGATACGGCAATTGTATCGACCATAAAACTTGCTAAATGATGAATTCAGACGAGACTGCTATATTCTTGTTTCAGCACCTTGTTAGTCAATAGCTTGTCCTGTTTAAAAATTGATCTATGTTAACAATTGTAATTTCTACTCTTATGTCGATACGATATATCCTGGTGAGCTTGAGATAAAAGATACCACAGAGTCTGACACATCCGTTTCATATTTGGGAAATTACTTGAAAAAGACGTTAATGGTAATCTAACAACCAGGCTCTATGATAAACGTGATGACTAACTTTTCTATCGTCAACTTCCCTTACTTATGCAGCAATATACCTTCATCACCTGCATACGGAGTTTATGTATCTCAGTTGATTCGATACGCAAGAGCATGCTCTACAAGTTAATGAAACAATTATATCAGCAGTCTCGTTTAAAGTCACCATTTTATAAGTTCTATGGTCGATACAATAACCTTGTCAGCAAAGATATTTATCATTGAGTCAAATGCTGACTGACGTTTTTCATACTAATTGTTGGTTTATTGTTTATATACTGAATTGACGACGGATATTTCCGTTATTTCCCGATCTTGACTAGGAGAACACGGCGGGTGTGACCGGTAGGCAGGGGATGCACACTCCTCCATGGCACCTGATCCTACCTCTAACGTTTTGGAGGTCCGTGTTTGCTTCCTATTTTGTATTGTTTTATGGACTTTTGATCTTGAATACTGTTCGTTATCTCCATATGTTTTATCTTTAAAATCGTTTAGGTAACATTTGTTTTGTTGCACCACTGACATGGTATAACATTGTTTTCAGCACCAGTCCTGACTATAATTTTGTTATGACAAAATTACTGCAATCTAAATTGAAAGCGCAATATATATCAAATTTCATCAGTAAAAACTATTTCCGCAATGCAGCATTATTATGCAATAGATCTTTTTAAAAATATGAATATCTAAAATGTCATGAAAAGGTGTTACACTTTCGAAAACATTTTTTTTTGTCTTTCGATATAAATTTTGCACGAATTCCCTCAAATCCAAATGGTGACATGGGAATTTATTTAAAAAAAACTTATGCAGATTGATGAAACATATGGAGATAACGAACAGTATTCAAGATCAAAATACAAAATTGGAGCAAAGCAAACACAGACTTCCAAAACATCAGAGGTGGGATCAGGTCCCATGGAGGAGTAAGCATCCCCTGCCGACCGGTCACATATAAAGTGTCCTGTCAAAATTCTCTGAGTTTTGAAACGATCCAGTTTGTGTTTCCTTGTCTCCTCATTAAATCTGTGGCGCAAAAGAGTCTTGTTGTATATACTGTAGAATCATCATTCTTTGCGGGGGACCAATATTCGTGGACTTCGTGGATCACCCATACCTACGAGTTTACATCCCCCGAACGTTTATTTTTTAAACACATTGATTCATTGAACAATTATTTTTACGAGTAACCCACGAAATTACTTCCCAACGAACCGGTCAAATTTTACTTACCAACGAAAATTGACCCCCACGAATTAAAATGATTCTACAGTATATGCATAGCGAATGTCTTCCCGCTCCAGATCTGTTGAGCATAAAATAAATTAAAAACATACTTGTATGTGAAAAAAACAATCTAAAGTGTGGTGTTTTAAAAAAAAAAATTAGATTGAATTATGAAAATGATACGTGCATTGGTCTTTAGGGTGACAGACAAGATCATGAAGCAGGTGTTTAAGAGGGTTTTTTGCTGATATCTATATCAAAATAATTTTTGGGAGTAAGAAAAACATAAACAAGTAGATAACAGCTGCAGAATGCTACTCTACGAAAGCAGTATATAAGAACAATCATAGCTCAACACTTAATAGTTTGACAAGCAGATTCCATTAGGATGAATAACTTCTTTCTTGCTATTGTTTTCCTTGCAGGTATTTATATATATTTCTTTTTTATATGTGAGATATATGCAAAATTAAATCTAAAAAATAAGATTTATATATTTCTTCAGTTTAGATAAAATGTATTTATTTAAGAATCAACAATACTGATTGATATCTTAACAGAACAATACGATGCATAGATTCCAAGTTGTTTTGTATGACGTTAAAAGTGTAGCACACTGAAATCGGTTCGTAGTCTTGAACATACAGGCGACGTTATGATAATAGCCGCCCGGTGTCATTCAAAACATGCAAGAAGTGAAAGATAACGCCTGGAGTATAACGTTTGTGATAAATCTCAAAAGTTTTAGTCCCGAGAAACAGACATTTAATTCAAAGTTTGATGTCTTGAATATCCACAAACCATTTTGAGAACTTGTGGTTGGCGAGCACATAATATACCGAGTATAATGAGTTTACTTTGGGGGGGGGGGGGGGATTACTAATCAAATCTCTTAAATAATTTTCTTCGCTTTTTTCCTGGATTTTTTTCATCCTATCAATATGTTTGTTGAAATGTTCTAGAATATAAGGAATTTCTCACTTACATATCGACCCACTTTTTTAAAACCCGGAGCTGAGAGAGGACAAACAAACAATAATTTAAAGATGGTTCCATTAAATTTTTTTCTTTTGTAATCAACAAACCATGCGATATCAAGAATCCTTAAAAAAAAATTCATTAACTTGTCACTCCAGCTTCTGTCGACTTTAGTAGTAGGCTTGGGGATGGCTGGGGCCGCCTTCCAGTTGCCGCTGGGTCGAAGATCACGTGTGCTTTAGGTAAGACTTACATAAAGCAATATTTTTAATGATTCTTTTGTTTTTAACAAGTTCATTAGAAACACACCAACGCCCTATTTATTTTTTCAGGAGACTGTGCTTTTGCATGTACTACAACATCCGACTGCCCAAGAGCTGCAGGGCCTAATCATTTCCATCACTGTATTGACGGTTGTTGTAGATGTATTTCTTTGTAGAGTATATTGGAATATCCAGTGAATTAAAAATAAGTATTACTTTGCTTTACTTTTTTACCCCAAAAAATCATTGTTTACACTATCTCACGTTGAGATTCGACAATTCAAAATGTAATAAATGACCTAACAATTAGCATGTAAAATATCAGTCAGCATTTGACTTATTGATAGATTGTATTTGCCGACAGAGTCATTGTATTGACCACTGAACTTATGTTATAACAACTTTAAGAGGGGCTGTTGATACTCTTGTTTCATCGACTTGTTTGTCATTAACTTACCTTGTTTTAGAAATTGTACATATAGAGCATGTTCTTAAGTATTGAATCAACTGAGAGATAAAATCTCGTTAAATATTTAAGATTCAATACAAACATTATCCTATCCTTTCAACAATTTAAAATATCCATATAAAATTGTGGTATACACGTGTAAAATATCTACAAAGCATTTTGATTGAAATAAAGATTGTTAAGATAGGATTCTTCTCATATTTCTTGTACTTAAAAATTAATGAAATTTTCAGAGAATTAAGAAGACAATATCACTAAGTGATTGTATCAGTGAGATTAAATTTGACCGTTTTATATTAGAGGCAAGGTCAGGTCAAGGTCATTACATTTTTCCCGGACATTAATAATAGAAAACTAGATGCTGTCATGAGACAGTAATACCCGCACTATGGTGTTTGCCTCTAAATACACACTCCTTCATATTGGACTTTCCAAGGAAGAATTCAAAATAATTCTATAATTATCACCGTACATGTATTCGTCAAATTGAACATAAAATTTTCAGGTGACCATATGATCTATGAGCCTCACATATGTATTTTGAATACTTAATTCATTACCAGTCTGAAATAACAGAATTTAATTAATGATTGAAGTAAATTACTTAATTAGATTCAGATAAATATTTTGCCCATAATTTGAAACTTTTTAAATTTACTTTCTCAACGACATATTATTTTAGTACAAAGCGTTTCTGATGAATTTATCAAAATGTGCAAACTGATTTTAGTACTTGGTCGGGAAAAAAACCCATTGAAAATACAACCCGATTAATTTGTCAATGCCTATCTCTCCCTCTCTCTCTCTCTCTCTCTCTCTCTCTCTCTCCCCCCACACACACACACACACACACACTCACTCTCACATTTTTTAAAAATAGACCTAGATGGCAAAGTTATGTTAAAACATAGTTTATTATGATAGTTTGAAATTTGTTCTTGTACTAAACAGTTTTACGTGTGAACATCTTATTTTCTGCATTCACATTGGGTTTGCGTCACCCATTATCATATTTATAGATATCACCTCTCGGCACACATCGGCCGATTCATTCTGGCAACGGAATCAGCAAAGGTTTGTCGAATGAGATTATTTAGCACATGTATGCTGACGATGCAGTGTGGTCAGTTAAAATCATTTGTGTTTTAATTGGATTATATGGATTATATTTCATGAATTCGTTGTCACGATCTATGACATTCGGTAAGTACAAGGTTTAGTATAGATTGCATAAAAATAAATAAATGCAAATGGTTAGGTTGA